CTGCACTGTCCTAGTCCTTGTAGTAAAAGGAATACTACGAGTAATAATTAAATAATACTAATAATTAAAGCAATTAAGCTGATTGATACTGATCTAATGTGAAGTTGGAGATAGCTATCAGAAAGCTTATGAATACTGCTACAAAAGTAACCAGGTAACAACTAACTCACGACTTAGCTGACAGAACCTCGAGAGTAACCTCTAACACGTCCTCACGCTACGAACGCTCTACCGCAAAACAAAAAAAATTAACATAAACAAATTAACTTTTTTATTAATTAATCAATTAGGACATTATATTTTTGTGCAAGGTTTCATACCATAACAATTAATATGAGACCACTCTCACCTTTACATGATTTCTCCTTCATGGTTAGGTGATTCGGTAAACTGCGTAATAAATTTATACATATGGAGATCCCTTCTCGTATGGTGTTCCCGCTGTGTGCCTACTACGCGTCCTTAATCGCGTAGGTCTATCTCTTCATGAGGAGACAGACACTGAAGGTTTCGAGATGTGATCTTCTGTGGGAATCCAATATCGAACTTGTTCTAAAGTTTCATGGTAGGTTTGTCTATAAGTCTGAATCCCTCTTCTCCCTTCCTTAGGAAGGAAACCTTCTCCTTCCTTCCTTCCTCGTATGCCAGACGTGCCCTGGGTTGACTTTCATAATTAGATAAGAACATCGTGGGATTACACTGTATTACGCTTTGCTGAAAGNCCTGGGTTGACTTTCATAATTAGATAAGAACATCGTGGGATTACACTGTATTACGCTTTGCTGAAAGAAAGAAACAAAAGCAGGTATTCTATGTCTTAAAAAATCCAAGAGGCTTGGCTTAGTTTCTTTGCAGAAGACTCAGTGTATCGGCGATTGAGGTGCCATCTTACATTAGTAATGGTAACCTTACCTCTGCAAGAATATCCAGCTGAATAATCGTGCTAGTGAAAAGAACTTACAGCTTACCCGTATTAATCCGTTAGTATTTGGTGCATCCCTATCACGGAGAAGCTGTATGTTCTATTCACTAGCGCGATTATTCAGTACCTCCTTTTAATTATTTTCGGAAAAGGTCGCGACCCATTCACGGCTCTCTCTCTTCTCAAAGAGAGAAAGTGTTCGAGGGTAACAACCGAGTCCTGCATCTTTTATATGTTGATTGGTGCAAGAAAAGGTATCCGGTTCAAAGATCCCGGTCTCTCCATTTCCTCTCGAAGCTGATCCAAGAACAAATTGAAATCTATAAAAGCTCACAAAGTGGGCACAAGTGTCTGCACGTGCCTGCTTAAATAATATTGAGATACAAGGGAGTAAATAAGGTATAGCCTATGTTATCGATACCGTGAAGTAGGTTTGTCCATCCTTGATCCATCCAACGACGACGTCAATTCTTGGCATGGCACCGTTAGGGGAGAAGCCCAATCCGGCTCATCCCTGGGTCTCCGCATGCAGCTCGAATGTGATTTCCCCGCTTTCCAAAACTGGAGTCTAGTTCAAATTGATAATCCCATCCCGATCCAGAGTCTCGTGCCTTTCCCATGTTTGACATAGAACCAAAGGGATTAGGACCGAGAAAAGTATCCGCCTTGCACCGGTCTGCATTATTCTGAGAGCAAGAAGCGACTCAATGGTGTGTGAAAAATAGTTGGAATGTTTCCTTACCTGCCTTGCCTTGAGAGGAACTGCATGTGTCGGTGTCGTGCGAGCGAAATTGTGCAACAGAATGTTTCAGACGGATGACGATTGGGCAGGAATTTATGTTATATTAATTCTCACTCATCATTTGCAACCCGTATCAAAACATTTGACTCCAGCCAGCGAAGGCAATTGTACGCACATCTCACACTTGATTCCCAGGATCTTCTAAAACAGGTTTCTCAAACTCGCGGCGGTATATTGGCCCTTTTCATGAGAATGCGGCCAGCGGGCCGGGAGTTTGAGACCCCCCGTTCTAAAACAATAATAAATTGCGTTTTCTCTGCCTTACTTCCAAAAATAAAAGTATTCCATCTTTTCTTTTAATCATTTATGAGAATCACCGCACTGTTTTTTTTCTTGGCTGCTAGGATGACAAGGCAAATCATTTAATCGAATTGCAATAACTAATCTGATCTGCGATTGCTTTTGGATAGTTGCTTACATTTTTCTGTCACTAATTCGATTTGGCCCTGGTAGCTTTATTACACAAGGGATATCTTTGCTGCAATTTCTGTCAACTAAGACAGCAAGTTTCCAATAACATAGTGAGATGCCTTGTGTTTGTGGAATTCCTCCGAATATCAGAGTGGATGGAGTACTTTAGGTTCGATGATGATTGGTACCATCCTAGCATTTCTTATTCTCCTACTTTTCTGGACATGTGAATCGCCTGTGTCTTGCCTTTGTGAGTCTTTAGGGTGAATTGTGTCAGCAACGTGGGGTGAAATTCTATCGGCAGTCGAGGATCTGCCCTTAATTTAGGCATCAAACTTTTTATTTTGGCGGATAGCTTTGAGTGACAGCAAAATGGCTGTCTTTTAAAAAATTATTTCTCTTGCTTCTAGGCTCCATTCATTGGCCATGGAACGTCGCAAGAACAAGGCCAATCACTATATTACCGGTCAAAAGGTTACAGCAGGAGCAACCTAAGGAGGAAAAATGTTCCAAATGTTTCTCAGAATTAGGATGAATGATTTTTCAGATCCTTTTCCTCTCTATACTATGGTAGTATTGGTTACAAAGCATCAACATGGTTGTAGAATAAAACGCGTGGGAAAAAAAGTTTCTATGATCTCAAACTTTACTATCGCCCTTTCAGAAAACACCATAAGTGAATTTTCATTTTCTTGATGGGAAGGCGATGGCTCAAGGGTCGGAATTGCCTACGGGGCACTTTCTCGGCGGTGGAATGTAATCATTCTCGTATTCCGGGAATGTCACATCCTTCACTTCCTGCCAATCCACACATAAAGGATGAACAAGCATATCCTGTGGAATGCACCGTATAAAAAGTCCGAATGGAGAGAGGGGAAAACACTTACAAGAAAGTAGGAGACCCCTCCGCAAGTACCTTGCTGGGGAGAGAATCGAACTGCTTCTTGATATGCTTCCACGTCGAAATTTTCCCAATCGAAGCCTCGGAAGTGCTCTTGCAGGATCTGGTTCGTTCCGTCCAATTCCCAGTTAAGGGTTTCCCTAAGAACAATTAAAAAGTTGATAAGCGGTAAGACTGACGAACCTCACTTAGCATGCCCTCCCAGAAACACATAAAGTCCAAGCAACATTGCTGTAACGTGATTTCAGACAAATGACGATACAGAAATGTCAAAGGAACGCGTAATGGATCCTTGCGTTGCTTGGGCTACTTCATGGATTCAAAACTAAGATTTAGAAATGGATTACCATGTTTCAATATGAAGTGTCTACATCATAAACATTGAGTCATGCCTACGTATGAACAACGTCAATCCCTTTAGCGTTGCATGAAAACTGCCTGGTTCGCAGCGTATTAACCACCTGATTTGAGAGCGAAAACGTAACCTCGGGGGAAAACAAAAAAATTTTAATTTGATAACAATGAATTCATTCATTTTACAAGTGTTTGTTAAGTTTCAAGTGGTTCATGGAATGTTTCTAAATTTCTCAATAAAATGATCTATGCAAAAGCAGTGTTGAACACGGAGTCCAACACCACAATCAGCAGAATGATATCTTGTTTCTTGGCGAACCCTTTCCCCTTTTGAATCCTTTATAATGCAGCAAACACCACAAACTTATTTTCCTCTTCTTTGTTGATGGACCAATTCCAAGGCAGAATGCCAGCTGATGCTGCCTTTCCATAAAAATAGGAACTACTGTAGGAGGCAGTCGAGAATGAATCCCTCATCGATACATAATTTCACAGTGAAAATCACGCTTTCAATACAACCGCTTTAAGCTAATAAAAGCTACCCCATATATATCCTGTATCCTGTCTCAAGATGTTTCGACATTTCAAACACCTTACTTCATAAAGCATATCACTAAAAGCACCGAGGCAAAGATAGTAGAAAGACAACCCAAGCTCTTTTTTCAAAAGAAAAACAGCATCGAAAACGATGTTCAAACTGCATTCAGGAAAAAATGAATTGAAATTCATGTTAACATGCAAAGTAGGATTCAATAGGATATTCATGACAACCAAACCATTCAATAACCAAAGCCTTTCCGTTCTCCGAGTGTCACATGAAACTCAAGAATTTCTAGTACCCCTGAATATTTATAAGTACTGGCTTGGGATCTAACTGCACTCGAACCTGAGAAATCATGGGGAAAAATTGTTCCAAGTCCACTGAGTCGTTCAATTTTTTTTTTACAGCGGCACTAAAAAAACCTGCGTTCTTTGCACCCTTAGCAAGCTAATAAATAATGATGTCATTATTATTGCTAATTTGCTGTTAAGTACTGATTATTATAAAATATTGATTAAATGTTTATTTACGAATCGAGCAGAATAACTCAGTTCAATAGTGCTAAGTTTTTCAAATTCAAAGAACATGTTGAAATGCATATGCTTGGATATACCGCATGTACTGCTGCTACGGATGATATGGTGTACCGATGAAACGATGATTCAACAGAATTTTTTTGGAGGGGGGGGCGAGAGCGAAAAATAAAACTCAGACTTTCTCGGACTGGATTAGTACGTACAAAAGACAAATGCGAGATCGTAGACTAGACAAGGTCTGCTCGACAGCGCAGCGTGTTTTGAGCCCTCTCTGCGCATGACGTCACGTGGTTCAAGAGAGCGCAGCGTCGTCTGCTACCGCATTTTAGAGATCACAAGAGAAAACATTATTTTCTCATCCCTTACAGCTTCCCCGCGCTCCGAGCAATAGCTGCATTTCATCATGCATATATTATGGGTCAATATTTGCTAGAGTGAAGTAATTCAAATCAGACTGGATGAAGAGACGGTGTATTCGAAAGGAAATTTGATTATTCTCATAGTCTATTTTCTTCCAATCTGTCCATTCTTCGACTCATCTTCTTCACTGACTTTTGGGCGTGTCTCTGTGCACTCACACCATTCAGTCTCCGAATTCGGAAGAAAGTGCGGCATCGCACAAAGGCGTGCATGACCTGAAGCGGGGCTGCTTCTTCTTCCTTCACAAGATCAATTAATTCTTTTATTAAAGCCTTCTTCCCTATAATCAAAGTGTCATCACACCCGTAAAATTCGTTGAACATTTGTTCTATGGACAAACACTGATTTAAAAGTTCCACATTCAGCCTCATTAAACTCCCTCGTGAAACGGCGTCTATCCAGCTTCTTCCCTCGGAAAATGACTCTCGTATTTTGAAGATCAGGACACTTCAATCAATGGGAGAATACTGTAGCATTTCACAAATCATAACATTTAACAAATCAAACGCTCATAGTCTTCAAGTTGAAAATGAGAACACATTCTGACTTTTTTCGGATTGACTTTGTCCGCACGGTGGCAGAGATGTACCCACTTACTTTCGGCTTCTCCATCTTTTGGGAAGCGGAATTATCGAATCCTCTTTGTGACATCATTATGGTTTTTACAGCTCGCAACAGCACATCCGACCATTTTTGCATGAATGACAAGAAGAAACACGTAAAGCCTCGCAAAAAAGGTACAGGAAATGTGAAGGAGTAAAAAAAACTAAGGGGGCACTTGAGGACTCCCGTGTGCTGTTTGAACCACGTGACGTCAGCAGGAGACGACGTATTGGGGCGGGGCTGCGCGTGAGCAGACCTGTCTAGTCTACGATCTCGAGTCAAATGGCAGTTTTAGTTCCCTACACAATCGTAGGCGTGCTCTGTGTCTAGAATAGGCACCTTAATGAACTCACGTGTTGAGATGGACTCCACCCAGTTCAAAAAGAGTGTGAAAGAACTGGTATTCCATGGTGGAGGAGCAGTGGTTTAACTCCACTCTGGGGTAATACATGACGAAAAACTCACACATCTCATCATTGTCGGTTAGTCCCCCCAAAGTCACGTCCTCTCGTTCCGACGAATCCAAATCGCATTCTGGACGATACAGACGACAATTTCAAGCTATATGGACATTCCGGTGTCCAACCTTGAAATATAGGACTATTTTTTTTTAAAAATGCTCTACCGTTTTCAATGGGCTAAACTAATTTTCGTGAGTGCAAACAAAATTATTTGACCACGCGACCAAAATTCGACGGTTATAAGGTGTTGAGATGCATGTCAACTTTTTTCATCACCCCTCCCGAAGTCGGGCAATGCCCATTTAGAGGTGGATCATTCCACCTCAAGTGAGGCAATGATACGTGTTCGACCGACTCAGAATTCAATTAAATTTGACAAGCAGTAGGATTATTTTGAGAACAGTCGGCAGAAAAATAAAACATATATCTGAACTTTAAGTGGAGGCCAAGAAAAGAGAGTTTTAATTTGATCCTGGGGGCACGAAATGGCCCCCAACACCAGATGTTAAATTCTTGACTATACGGTAATTATAAAGACGTCGCCCTATTTTGATCGGCTATAACTTTTCAAGGGACAGTTAGATGCAGCTGATACTTGAGAGAGAGGTTCATGAGGGTAAGAGGTTTTTCATATCCGCAAGACGGCATTGTATGCCGATAGAGGGCACTGTTGCTGACAGGAGGGCCCCCCATATTCATGCTATGCTTCTTCTTAGGCAGATAAACAAAACCTGTAAGGTTTATCATTTTAGCCTTTGAACCTTACACGAACCTCTTTGCAAAATATTAGTTTTATCTGAGAGCCCCTTCAAAATATTAGGTCTTGAAGCCAAGTAAAAAAAAAAAATTATTTCATTCAAAATCGGAATGAGGCCCAAACTGGCCAAACTAAGCGACTTGAATCTTGAGATGATGGAGCAGAGACCATTACTGCATTTGAGTAATGACGCACCTGTAAACTGTAACGGAACAATGCATAGCTCAAAGAATTGTTCTAAGAAAAACCCAGATAATCTTCTCAACACCTTGCATATGTCCCATACCAAGAGTTAATGAATGTTATAATGTTTTATACACGAATCTTACTCCCATAGAAGACGGTGGAGCGTTTATTTCGAATCACTCTATATATGAATTCCGTAGAGCAATATAATCCTTATTTGAAAAAGGGGAGCATGTGACCGTCGTCCGGGCCTGAAAGCCTTCATGTCGCTAAAGTAATTATAGTTGCTACTATCTCTAGAATCACATAAGTAATTATCATCAGTGACATCAATGCGGTCACGCAAAGAATGACAATCCAAAGCAATTCAAACATTCATCCAAAGCAGGTAAACCAACTTAAAGCCCTGGCGCATACCTAGTTGATTTGATGTCGGTATGGTGCTGTTCTTTTCTCTGATACAATCTCTCTTATTTTAACTTTGTCCTTCCCCTCCCAGCATACAAGGTCTGTCCCAAAAGTATCCGAACTTCAGTTACAAATCAATTTCCCATGTGATATTTTTTATTATTGATTATTCAAAATACGTCCCTTCCGAAGAAATGCAGGCTTTGCAGTGATCATACAACTTTTGGAAACACCTCTGGTAGTCTTCCTCCGAGATGGCGGAAATTACCTTGGCCGAAGCCTTTAGGATGTCCAAAATCGTGTCGAAACGCTTTCCTTTCAGCTTCATTTTTATTTTGGGGAAAAGGAAATAATCACAGGGTGCCAAATCAGGCGAATAGGGCGGGTCGTCAAGCACTACGACTCCTTTTGAGGCCAAAAACTTCCGCACAATGATGGACCTGTGAGACGGAGCATCGTCGTGGAGGAGAGACCAGCTGCCTGGTGCTTGGTATCGAGGACGGACCCAAGCAATTCTGGCCAGCAAACGCTTCATAACTGCGAGCAAACGCTTCATAACATAATATTCGCCATTTACCGTCTGGCCTTCTGGAACGAACTCCTTGTATGCTGGGAAGACTTTTCGCCGCTGCAAATCTTCGGTCAAAATGCGGTAAACTTGTGATTTACTGATACCTATGATATCCTCAATGAGTCTCACGGAAATGCAACGGTCGCTTTTGATCAAATCACGCAATTTTTCCACTGCTTCGTCCGTTCGACTGGTCAAAGGGCGCCCGCTGCGTTTATCGTCTTCCAACTGTTCTCTACCATTCCGAAACTATGCATACCACTCGTAAACTGTTGTACGTGATAGTGCTTGTTCCCCATAAGCCTTCCGTAACATCTCGAGCGTCTCCGTAAATGTTTTCCCCAATTTTACACAGGATTTGATGCTAGCTCTCTGTTCCATGGTGATTTCTCGACGAGTGTCATAAGGGTACTTTTACTTTTGGCGCCTTATGCAATGACTCATTCGTCTTAGCCCAACCAAACTCAACAGAGTAATACATGAAGGTTCAACCAATAGAACGCCACCTTCTTTCAACAAATGGCGCCACTAATACTGTCTGTACAGAAAAAGTTCGGATACTTTTGGGACACACCTTGTATATTATTTCGCTGGGTTGAAGTGAAGTCAATAAAAATTTCAATTCAAGTCCTAGCTGAATTAGCCAAAGAAAGTAAGTAGTAATTGGAATGAAGATAAAGAAAACCTAATTCGTGATGGCTAATAGATCTCTGAAAATTATGGTCTTACCGACGGTGATGTGATCACCCGGGAGAAGAAGGAATTCCTCTCTTAGGATGCGGCTCTGCTGGAAATCGGAGTCGTAGTGTTCGTCGTGGAAGATCCAGGGAAGTTCCTCCCCATCTCTGAATATTCGGGCTCTCATCTTCCTCCCTGTCATTTTCGAGCAAGGCATTAACGCAACAATAAATGGTCTTGCATGATAATATGTTTTTATATGTTTCGAAATCTAAAGGATCTTCAACCATTTAATGGAAAGAACACATTGACTTATGCTTAATGCTTAATGAGCTAATGTACGAGGAGTGTTCAATAAATAAGGTAACAAGGCCTGCTGCGAATAAGTTATTTGTGTCGAGGAACTTTTTCGGTGACGGAGTACAGTGATGGTAAGGCTTCCATTTCACGCGCGGATATGTCGCTGCGCTTGCGTAAAATGCATACAATTGAACACCCCTCATACAACTGAGAAAACTAAGTTAGTGTATCCTCTCCCATGCACATTTCACTTTATCCCAATTATTCCAAAGTTTGCTTGTGAATGCAAACGCAATGTTTCAATTTCTCTCAATTTCACTCAATTTCATTGCCATTTTCATTCATTGCTATTTTGCTATAAGTATGAGCTGTCGCGAGTTTAGGCTTCCAAGTCAACTAAGAAATAGGGTACCAAGGAGATGAGAATGCAGCAATCCAGAGAAGATGTGAATGCCCTCGGGAGGAATAAACATCTCCGTGCATTCCCCGGGACAGTGGCCCACAGTCATGAAGTCACCCAATCCAGGTGGGACAAGCTGTAGGTGCAAAACGATTGATGATGAGAATCTAAGAGGTCACCCTTAGCTCTACGGGAGCACAGATGATATTGACGTGGAGATTGGCGGGATGATCCCACGATCAAATACCATCGTGGGAAACACTTTTTGGTTACATAAACTTTTTGACTAATCTTGCTATGTGGACCTTCTTGAAGACTAATGATATTCTGTACTATATGCGTCTCATACCGGTAACTTCTAAAATATACTTCATCCAGAAGAATGGAAGCTATAGTAGTTGCTGAGGAAATACCTAAAAATCCTATTATTCTCTCATGTCGGGAACACTTTCATATTAAAAAATAACGAAAATAAATGCTTTTTGAAAACCCTGAACAAACTTTAATAAAGCGCAAGAACAGTAGAATCAGAATCAATCTTGAAGAGACAAGTGGATAAAATGAACGTCTATTCTCATGCCTGACGCATCTCTTAAGAGTCACACTTCTTCCAATTGTCCCTCAATCCTTATCCTTCAATGGAGGTAATGAATTTCTATCCAAAATTCTTAGAAATACCTGCTATTTTTACTCTACTTTCGAAGAAACGGAGGCAATGAGTACTGTTACAAGCACCAAAGAGGTGAGGAAAATATTTTCTGGAGTGTTATCATGACAGATTAGCGCTCGCAAAGCCGAAGAGTTACATCGTAGGGAAATGTGTCGAGGGCTTTCGAAGAATCATCTATAATCATAGCTGAAAAGGACCTAGGATTTATCATGATGTTGCAAATGAAATGGATGGAACATTTAAGAGCCGTTCGCAGGGGTGCTCGTTAAAACAGATTAAAGCTTCAACCTCGAAGGAGCTATGGTCGGATGAGGAAGGGATTAGACGAGCGAAATGCCTGGCCGGAGAGGTGGTTATTTTTTCGGTCAGTTGTTAGGCACGGTGATCTCTCGTGCTATTTGCTTCTTGCAACCTTCACTTGTGGGATATATTGCTGAGTCATAGCAATTTTCCTATTTGGGCAATGTGACCTAAGAAGGAATTGCGACACCTTACGGCCACTGAATCACGACAGCGAGCCAAACTTCTGTGTCACGGAATCGTTTCCCATGTCCCCTCAAAGCGAGATTATGTGCGCTCGGAGCTTAAATCGATTTTCATAACTTGTTCATAAGAAAGTTAATCTATCACTTTTCCTTTGGCAACGATGTTCGACAAAAAAAAACAGTTGTATCATGAAAGCAGCTGTGTTTGACCTACAACGTAAAATCAAACTCTGAACGCTGTACTTACTTCAGTGTAGACGACCCGGGAGCCAAAGACGATGGTGCCCATATCGTAGGTCCGGAGATTGTCTGTATAGTAGATGGTGAGACCGGATTCGTCGTGGATATCGTCTATGAGCTGAGGGTTGTTGTAATGCATCTCCATTCGGTAATATGTCGGTCCCTCAGAGTCTGGTCTAAGGGGGTAGCCTGCGTGTTCTGGGTATTTTTCTCCCTAAAATTCGAAATAAAGACTACATACTCCATGAGAAAACTCATGGTGATATGAAATCCAGTAATAGATTCAGTCTTTTTTATGGGGATTAGAGACAGCTGCGGTATTTGCAGCAAAAACTTACGACAAATATTCATGGCTTTCTCTTAAAGCTACTATTACAGAATATATATCTCGATCAATCATTTCTTATTATAGCTACTAATTTTGTATTCCGCTTAGAACCGGTCAAAAGCGACAAATAATGTAAATCCTTGAAAAAAAAAAGATGCACGTTACCTCGCAGCACGGGTTGCGCATGAGTGAATGGGAATAACTACCAGCATGAATGGTAAATTTGCTTACAGGGAAATGCTTAAACAGTTGTAGTTCGTCCCTGGTTGAGCAAATTCTAAGTGGATGTTGGAAATTCTAAGTAGCATTGACTTCCATGTTGCCTTATGTTTCAATGAGTACAGTATTTGCAAACAAGATCATGAACTGATACTCGCCAAAATGCAAAAAATGAAAATTAAAGGAATGTATTTTTAAAAAATTACGCAATTATACTAATCAAGTCTACAGCGGAGCTAATGGACACAATACATTACCAGAGAGTTATCATATAGCTTTTCCAGATTCAGAATCAAAATTTTTAATCACAAAGAAGCTGAAGTAGCTCGTTTTTCATAATCAAGCCTTCAGCCCCTTCCTTTCCAATCCTCAAAATTTCCCTGATATCTACAGTCTGAAGGCAGGTTCAGATGAGACCAGCTCATGCTGGGAGGAGGGGCAAATCACGAAATCACCATTTTGAGAGATGCGAATCTCTGAAAATGCAACTTCTCACAAAATTATGTTTCCAAATCCACGGGTGTGGCCCTTTTTATGACTGTTCAGTCTCATGCTGGGCTGTAACAGGCTTTGACTGGTTATTTAAAAAAAAGACGCCCTATTAGATGTCCTTACGGCCTAGTACTAGACTGGCAGTACAAAGGTCACTTTGAAAGAAAAGAAAAGCATACTTCTTCCTGACCAAATATATCATTATACATAGGTTTATTGGTTTCGCCTACATAAGAAAAATTTGGAAATTATGAAAGGAAACATTCTTTCCATACCTGGAACATCTTATTTATGAAAATTGCCTTATTGTTCACTCGAGGTCAATTAGTACTCAATTTTATTCTGCAAAAAAGACCGTATAGAAATTGGACGACATGCCCTTAGTGTTGCTTTTGATTCACATCGTGAATTATCACCATCACGACAATGACACAGATAACGTAATGAACAGAAGTACGGAGAACCTTACCACTCCACTGACGGCCCAGCCCTGGAGGACGCTTTGGCATTTCCCAATCAGGTAGCTAATGTCAGGATCAAAGCAGGAGGAACCATGGGGATAATTTTGCATGAACTGCTCGAAAACCTCTTCCTCACCCTCGTTCAACGTGAAACCATCAACTTCAAATGGTCCACGTATTCTTCGTTTCCATCCGTTACCCATGGATGGTACTGGGGGATTAAATAATGTAAAAGAGTTGAATGATGGCTATTAATATAGAAAGCAATATGAAGTTAGGTAAGCATCTGCGTTTCTGGGTTACCCCAATGATATGGTGCTTGGTGTCGATTGGGGGTGCTTTAAATAAGCTGCACCAATAGGTGGTATCCAAGGCCGGGATGATGACGTTATTTCTGAGCTCCCACTCTTTTATTCCTGGTTCGCCCGATATCTCCTCTGATAGTGTAAAGCAAAGAAACAATTTCAATATCCTATTTATGTTAGATGTACGGTTCCAATCGATATAGTATAGATATTTTACCTATTTGTGGGTCGAGGAGATTGACAAATTTCACACCGCGATGGTCTCGTCCTTCATGAAAGGGATCTTCTCCGTCTGGATCCGTCTCCCCATATGCGTAGATCAGACTCCAAGTGTCACTCTGCATTTAAAGCATATATGCGTACCGTAACTAACTTTCCTTACATATTGCCGAAAAGAGTCATGATGTATGCTTTGTGTTTGCAGGAAAATTATTTTAAAATATAAATAGTAATACGTGCGAGACAAAAAAGGAGGCAAAGTTCAAAATGAAAAAGAATAGTGCTTAGAATTCCGGAGAAAACTCAATGGCGTTAATTTCATGTATCTTTCAATACTTTCTTTTCAATTTTCTAAAAGTGGTTAAAATGTGAGGCCTCCGATGAAGGTCCGATCACTAGGAGGCTTCAATGACACAGTTGAGAACTTTGTCTCAAAATTGTAATTCTGGTGTATTGATTGTAGGCGGATTACAATGCGGGAGTGCATCCTTTTCCTGAACCTTCACCGTGATTCATAAAATCGGTACCCCCTAAGTACTTTATTGGAACTCTGAGATTTATGAGTCCATTTACGTGAAATTATGAACGATTGTAGCTCAAAAACAAATAATCATAATGAGAGGGGTTGTACTGATGGCCACATTTGGACGGTGGGCCGATGGCAGATTTTTTCCTCATCACCATCGGCTGGTGCCGGTGCCGATTGTGGCCTGTAATCGTCTATAAATTCAAATGGGCTTAAATGGAAGCCATGCGATACTTATCAGTAGGCTTCCTTGAAACGATAAAGACCACTTTTGGTCCTGTCCAGCTTGTCTGTCTCTCTTTAAGGCTGTCAGTTATTAGCTTGTTACACATTCCTGATGTGGAGAGCATTTAGTGACGCATCCTTACAAAAGCATAACGTTAATGGAGTTGCAATGATTTCACGTTCTTTATCGCTACTTTCCTCTGCCGGTTCCTATAATCCGACTGGAATATAATCCCATTGTTATTTTTGTCTGGAAGAGGCTGGCAGGAGTGGCTTCCAGTGAGACAGGAGGGTTGACGCCTGACCGCATTCAGACCCTCACATAATTTTTCTTTTGCGCTTTGCCTGTCCTTTGGGTACCGGCACTGGCGCCATAGGTCGATGGCCGATGGTGCCGATAGTGCTACACCGGCGGCTGATACCGTTGGTAGCCGATACATCGGTACAGCCCAGATAATGATAGTCACAGATTGTATTCTATATGCCTGCCGATGTTGAAGACCTTCGCCAGCGTATCCTGCAAGCCTGGGATGATATGGATCAGCGCAATTATAGACGCGTCTGTGCATCAATGGCGTACGCGTCTTTCCGAATGCGTTGTAGCTGAAGGCGGACATTTTGAATACAAGCTATGGCTATCATTATGATTATTATTTTTTAACTACAATCGTTCATAATTTCATGTAAATGAACCAATAAATATAAGAGTTCTAATAAAATATTTACGGGGTCTCGATTTTATGAGTCACGGTGTAGATTTCCAACAATGATCCGTGGGGTCTTGACTTCGTCCTCCAACCAAGGCCATAGAAAATTATTATGCTGAGAAAAACTGCAACAATTTTTTTTTTACTTCATGTTTGTAACATTTTGCTAATGGGTGCTGTTGCTATGAGGATGCCAATTCGTTCTCTCTGCTTCGAAGCAGCCCAATATATTAGGATACCATGTCTCACATCTATGTGCTTGCCAATGGAGGGTCTAGTTTGAGACGTGAAAAGGAATCAATATATGAACTTATGACAAGCAATGCATCTTGTACATACTGTAATGTAGAAGTCGTTCTCATCGCAGGTGTCGAAGAGACGTTTAAATCTGAGGATCAACCCCTCCTCGCCCTCGGATGAGAAGAGGAGTTCGTAGTCCTGACTCTCGTCCACCAGAGAAAGCTCGTTTCCCACTGCATGTCTGTCCTGCAGAAGAAAATCATGAGTGTTATCAGTGTTTATATCATTACGAATTTTAAAGAGGAATGAGACAAAAATAGAGCAAAATTCGCGAGTGACCATTACCTTCGTGTGGAAACTCCTCTGTGTCACCCAGTAACCGAACAATTGTCGGAATAGCGATCAGCATTGATGAGAACGAAGATGTTTCGATAAATAATCTTCGAAAGCGAATCTACCTTTATGCTCAATATGAAGTATCAAAAGTGTTGATCGCTTTCTCTTCTTTTTTCTCCATGGGAAGCTATGTTCAAAATTGGCGAAATAAATCTAGCAGAATTTCTATTAACATTTTGCTCCATCGAAAACTGATTCACCTTGAGAACTTACGAGTACTTCAACAAAGGGTTCAAACCTTCCAATGGTTTCTATTGATCACAGAAATTACGTTTTTTTTCTAGGGAATTATTAGATAAAACCAATTACCTCCCGCATTCTAAAAGTACTGTATCTGCACTGTATCTGCCATGAACATCTCTTCACTAATATTCCAAAATATACTGGCTAAAATTCCATCAGGTTAGGAGTAGACGAATGGTAGTATAGGCATGTCGATTTTTAGCCTGTCCTTCACCCTGATGCAAGCTGTACATTTTCCGCATTTGAGGCTCTCATGCTTTGAGATCTTGAGTTTGGACGACTCAATATGAGCCTTGCGGTGTAATTCAAGGTTATCTTATTCATCGGGGTATCAGCGCGGAGGCACTATGAAGAAAAAACGACGCTCGTGGGAGAAAAATATAATAAATGATTTGGGAAAATCGTGAAATTGACAGCCTTGCAGGTTACCCCGTCATGATTTCACGAGGGCTCATGGTTGTTCACTGTCTTCCGTCGGTAAAAATGAGAGCCTTTTATACCTGCGTTGTCAATACGTTGTCTCTTACATGGAAATAAATATGTTGCTAAATTTAAATACATATATCTATATCATGTCTATATCATGAATTGAAGAAGAAAAAAATGCTTATTAAGCACCATTTGTTGACTTCACCAATGTGACGAGAGTGCCCAGCAGGAAGCATCTCATTAAGCACTCTTGAGTTTTCATGAGGTCTCACGACTTTCTCATAGGATATGCTGAATTTCCAATGAGGATCGTGAGGTTCCTCATCGGGATTATGAGGATTCTATGAGGCCTCCTGAGACCTCTGTTCGAAAACATAATGAAGATCTGATTTTTTTTCTCCGAACACCTAAAGTTCCTGCGATTTTGAGAGTACCATTCTGGAGATTTGCCAAGGTTTTCCCTCTCCACTCCCAATTTCTCAAATTTATCTGGAAAGTAACAAAAAACTGTGATGGACTTGACATAAAATACAATGTGACCCTACAATGTGTTGAAATATATTTCAAGTTGAGATACCATTAATTCGTTCAATCTATCCCTGTGTGCTTTTGAGGGGTAACTAATACATCTTATGTGCATATGCGAAAGTTATTACAATATCGATTCACATGTTCTTTAAATACAGGGTTTCCCATGAGTCCCTACACCACTTCAAAAAATCGGATTTACTGAACAATTGAAAAAAGAAATAAACTTAACTGAACAATAGCGCCTCATTTTGAATTATCTTTGTAAAAAAAAAAAAAGAAGGAAGTATTTCTGAGTTTCGAAAGGACCTCAAAATGTCCTCCGTCAATATCAATATATTTGGCTTGAGGTTTAATGAGTTTGAGTTTAAAAAATCCTTGAAACTCCCTTTGAACTGTGATGGGCCTCTTAAGTACCTCCATCCAGGTGAAAGCTTTTCTTCGTTGCTCCAGCGTCAATTGTAAGGCCTTTTATCAAAACAGCGAAAGCAAGTGAAATATTTAGGATATTTTCTGCTTCTGAAGTTCATGTCAAAATAGGAGGGAAAAAAGCATGATGTTTAGCGATCCCTTGTAGCAGATGACATTGAAGCAACATTTATTCAATGTTGATACAATATCCGGATGTTGAGTCAACATTGAATCAATATTGATTCAATGTTATGTGCTACTAGGGATATTGGTAAAAGAGGATTCCACATTTGTACAAAAAAGTCACTAAACAATTACAACTCTCTTAATATGCATTTGAAGCTCTTCCCGTTTGACTCTGATTCTAAGCCATTATCGTGATAAAAAAATGTAAACTCCCTTTCCATCAATGAACAACTGCAAACAACTGTGATCTGATTGTTGCTGTTTTGAAATTATTGCAGTTTCAAATGGCAAAGTGATTTAATGGGCACACTGTACGGAAAGTAATGCAAATCATTTGTGTCCATGCCCCGAATGCCTACCCTGGGATGATTGGAAATCCTTCGATTTTCTGCACCATCATTCCCGATACTCTGCAGTCGATTCGATTAAACTGTCAAGTCAACTACAAGGCATGAGGCAAGCATTCGAGGAGCGGGGAGGCAACTGTCACAAGAAAGTATGAACAGTGCAATGCTCATTTCTCGACCTAGGTTATGTATCTTTGAACAAAATGACGACGGACACTTCAAACACCTCATCCGAGTAGGAAAAATATAAGAAAACTGCACTCATCTTATTTATTGTAAGACTGTATCTGAACAGTCAACCATACAGTATGTCGCACCGCACTGAGCTTTGGTGCAGAGGCATGAATACTTCCGGCAAAAATACCCCACTGCAATTATGCTCTGAATCATCGTCTGTATATCCAGAACCAGGGAATAAGGACAATGTTTTAACATTGCATACATGCAATCATATCATGTAATTTTAAGCCTTTACACACGCACAGCAATAGGCTTAGCCAATTAATAGCATATGGAAAATGAACATTTTTCCAAACTTGATTTCAATCAAACTTATCTTGCCTTAAGATGCTCGTCCTTTCAACTCTGGGGGAAGGAAACAGAGCCATTATGGAAATGCAACCACACTGCATAGGAATCACTCATTCTCTAGCATTTTAATAAATGGAGTACACATTTTTGTATCATACATTATACTTGAATTGCTTGATTAGTGTCAATTTTGCGTCATTCAGAGTCAAAGACCACCTAAGAAAAGGCATCCGGTCCGAAGATGCTGGTTTCAGTATTTCCTCTCGAAGTTCATCCAAGAACAAATAGACATGTCTAGAAAAGATCGCATTGTGCACTAGTGTCTGCTTGTGATTCTTTGCTTCGATCTTCAGATACAAATGTATGAAGTATGATATCCATACCGTGAAGTAGGTTTGTCCATCCTTGATCCATCCAACGACGACGTCAGATCCGGTCATGGCACCGTTGGCCGAGAAGCCCAATCCGGCCCATCCCTGTGTCTTCGCGTGCAGCTCGAATGTTATCTCCCCGCTTTCCAAATTTGGTGTCCAGTACAAATTCATGATCCCATCCCGATCCAGAGTCTCGTGTCTTTCCCATGTCTGGCCCAAAACCAGGTCAGGACCAGGAAAAGTATCAGCCTGACACCGGTCTGCATTGCTGGGAGACGAATAATTCAATGGTGTTGGAAAACCTTTATATAGTTTTCTTGCTGTCCTTGAGAGGAATCCCACGTGTCGGTGCCGTGTGAGGGAAATTGCGCAAGAAAATGTTGATAGATGGGTTATCTGACAAGGAAATTCCTCCAAATAGCATTTCTACTACCACATTCAACACGTATCAAAACATCTCATGCAAGCCAGAAAGACCGTAGTGAAAACTTGAGCCGGTAATGTGCGCTTGGCGAAAAATGATCGTTTCTAAAGATGAAAAAAATCATGTCGAGTTTTGAAGGTGTAGCGCAATGGTCGGCAACCTACGGCCCGCGTAGAGATTCCATTCTGCCCGCTACGACCTTGGTCGGGCGGTGCTAAAGTTTTCTCAAAAGAATCCATGAAACCGGGACAAATTGACCTATTCCTCACAGCAGCCTCATTTATCGTTGGAAAGGAAAGAAATTAGTTACAGCATTCTGTGTTCTTATTGCCTGCTGATGACCTGCGATTGCCTGATAATCGAACCAGTACAAACCGTCGCCAGCGCGTGAGGTGGCGATTTTGCAAACGCAGAGGACTTCGTCCGGACTTCAGGCTCGAAAATCGCTATTCCTTCGTCTTGTTGAGCCGGCACGCGCGCCCTCAGTATCGCCTGTCCTTGGCTGTATGTTGATGGAATGAGAGGGCGGGAAATGTTAGTCGTATTGCACTTTTCTTTGCTTTCGGAGGTTGGTGTGTTGGTGGACGTTTTTAATTTATGTTTTATTGTTCGTTTCATTATAGCTTCGTTATAAATTGACTTGAATCAATGCTTAAGGCTCACAATGACCAATTTGTATGTAGACGCCAGCGCTCTGGCCGTCAAAATGCAAGCACAGTTCGCACAGAGACCAACATGCCGAGATGTTGGTCTCAAATTACCATATTTGTCTGGTTTAGGTCTGAGATATGTAAGAATCACATTGTGATAGCATTAAGTTTTATATACAGCAATATAGTACCTGATTCTATTATTAAAATGCGTGCATAGCATACATATTTCAGTTCAAATAAACAGAAATGCAAAAAATCTTTATTTGGAATCCTCTGAGAGCACTTAACCCCCCCGTATCTGCACCTCTCAGCACTACTTCTCTGCTATCTCTCTGCGGCCCGCCACTACCAAACGTTTTATCACGTTTTACGTTATTTAAACGTTTCACATCGTTTTAAAAAACGATGCGAAAATGATGGTCTATCATCGGCACGTGCGAGAAAAGGTAACGGACCGTAATTGAACAGGCTGTCTCCTTGCGCTTCTGCATCATATTGTTACGGAGGGGAACTTCGGGAGTCGGACGGCATGAAAGGTCGAAAGAACCCAAGGAACGGCCGGGAATTGAACCCGGGCCTCCCGATTGCCAGTCAGGTGTGCTACCTCTTCACCACCGAACCCCAGACATTCAGTCGCGCCTCCCGATGCCATCCTCATCCGTCACAATCTCAAGGCACAAGCGAATACACCAAGTAAATGCATCTAGAATCGAGAAACGGTTCATTGAAAATGCGGTGACCCACATGAATCTCAGTCGCGCCGAGGATCAACCTACTTACTCCTGTACGAAGATTTGCAATGCAAAGGAGTATGCCCGTGACACTGTTGCACCGCATTCAATCGCATCCACTCCCGTCACCTGCGAAATTATAATAATCATTAGATGCATCTCGACTAGCAAAAAAAAAAACACTCACGAGCTCGAACCCATTCGGTGCACAAGGGCATGAGTCACAAGTGAAAAACTAATGACGCCCTCTGAAGTTTGCTTTTCCAATAATAAATTTAAAAAATTGAGCAGTGCAGGCAGGAATGCAGAAGGCGATCGCTCCCAGAGATCCTGAACGTCAAGGTACTCTTACCTTGATTGACTCCCGTCTCACACATCCCCTATGACCCTGTCTCATTCTCCTTGTTAGGACACGAACTCAATCAGAAAAGGACTGTGTGTAGCTCTGCCTCGAATCGGGCTAAAGAGGGCTATGTGTGGAAATGCCTTGAATTGTCCCTCAGGATTCCGAGCGATTTCCTCTTTCCATGTGGGGGATACCCCACCACTCAGGTTTCTTTTTGGAGTGGTGTATTATTCAGCATTATTATTTCATTGGTTGAGATGTTTGCAAAGGCACTTATGACGTCAGGGAACGGAACTGAACACTTCATCATTTCGTTCGATCGCTAAATGTAGCTCTCCGCAAAAATGGGGAAAATTAGGTCCTAGAAGGCTTGTCGCATGAGGAAAGTAAATCCCCGGAAGCCAAGAAACGCATTTTCAAAAATTTTCCCCTTTACAATCAGTCCTTTCATAGCTAGAGTGCTATCAGTCAGACAGAATGGCTGACTGACAAGCGACGGGAAAAGCATTTTTCGCGATATTCGACGAAATTTTCCTAATGGGGAATGAGTTTAATCAGTAAATCCATCAGTTTATCACACCCTGGTCCGAATAAACTTACCGTATTTGTATCAGATGCAGTACAACCTTTTCTTGCTCCGTTAATATTCAATTTCAAATGAACCCTGTGATCAGGAAGCATCTAGTTCCTCAAGTCATCCCAAAATTTAGCCCTCCCAACCGTACTACCCACACCAGGAAAATATGTAAATGCAGAAGAAACAATAGACCTTCACCGTTTTCGATTCCTAGTCCGATTTGAGCCCGGTTAAAGGCCGCTCGAAGGACTGCCACATCGGCAAAGGGGCCGAAAGACGCGCAGATGCCACTTCCCAGGCCGAATGCGACGCAGTTTCCACTTCCCAGACCGGAGTGGCCGGCTTCCCAGGACCGCGACGGTCCTGGGAGTGTCTTGACGAATGTCTCATTGTCCAGCTGAGGGATGCGAAATATCGCGTCGTTCGTGTCAGACGTTACTGTTCATTTTTTGATGAGCAACGTCTCGATGTCAATTCAAAGCAATATTATATAAATCATATTAGAAATCATATATGCTGGAATATCTCATAGCTGTGACCTTTTTTGGTTTTTCTTTTTTTACAGCTCATTGAGACCCCCGGTAAAATGCCGCTTTGTAAAAGAGCCCGTTCTTGAAAAAACAAAACAAAATAATAATTTTAAAATGCGGAATGTGTTTTTCCATTCATTTCCAAAGAATGCTTGCAAACAAAAAATTAATTTTTTTCTTTCCAGAAATTAATTTTGGCGAAGTAAAAACCGCACTTGCAAAAGAATTAATGAATGTCAGTTGGGAAAAAAAGGAGGCGGAAGGAGGTGGAACGACAGGTCAGGGTTGCCAGATGGGCCGAGTCTCGCTCAGGGGACCGGCCAGCCCTCAGACTTCTCATCTTCCTTGTCCTTTTCGCCTCTTCCCTTAATTCGTGCACTGAAAATGAATCCTCACGTTATATTTCTACTGTAAGGTGAAACTGAAAATTCTCATGGAATCTGTCATTGTTGGAGTCCAATTGAATGCATTTTAGAAGATGCTCTAAAAAAAAATGATAAAGACTCCTTCCTAGGTATCTGAGGTAATATATAAGGAAATTGCAAGATTTTAATATGTAACAACCCTTTTCATATTAGTATGTGACAAATGTCTCTTCCCCCTCCCCCCCCGCCTTAAACTGCTCAAATATCCCAGCAAACTGTACCACTTTTTATAACGATGCGATTGAGATCGATTAAGGTAAACTTAATGGAACTCGGAAGAGTTGTATCACATCTCATGCTTAAGATCCTTATTAAAATTTGTCGTTAGTAAGAGAAATGCAAAAGAGATGGCGCTAGGGTCCGTAAGGCTGAAGATAAGCAACCGCTCCCGTACGCTGGCGCCATCTCCCCAATTTTTTGATGAACTAAACTTGAAGGCGGCCAGCAGCTAAAACTATTTTTTATGGGCCTGTGGTTTCCAGATTCAAGTGTGGAAGAGAGTCATGGTAAACGGCTGGTAAACAGAATAATAATTTAAGAAATGAATGGGAAAAGTAATCTCTTTCGAGAAGAAAAAGAGTTCTTAATTCTTAATTAAGTCAGACGACAATGGAAAAGTGTGAGAATGAGGAATGAGAACATACGTCATGAATCACCTTTTTTTTTTCGAGAGTGGGAAAATTTTTTTTTTCGAGAGTGGGACTCAGTTTTCGAAACTCAGAAACTCTTCGTTGCATCGTGAGGAAATCTTTCTCGGATGCTGTATGTTTGCTTTTTAATGTATATTTTATTACTTTTATATATATTTCTGCAGGATATCACGATTCCTCCTAGTAAAAACCGTCCTTCGGAACTGGAGACCTTGGATTCTCATTTTTTATATTATTATAAATCAGGCGCACGCATTTATGCGTATCGTAAAAGCGTTCGTTCGGAGAGGGAAAAGCGACCGGACGGACTCGACCTGGCTCTTTTCGATGAGAAAAAGTACTTGCTCGGTACAGGAACCGAATTCCCGTGGGAAAAAGAAAAACTCGAGGAAAGCTTTTGGCACTCGAAAAGATGCTCATCGGTAATTTCAATGATTCCCAACATTGGTTCGTTCTCGGCACAGTCTTCTGTCGGGACAAAAAAAATTGCATATGTAGACACGATTTTGCAATTTTTTGGCGCCATTTGTGAGTTTGGGGCCATTTGAAGTCGGTTGGGGCCGTGTTCGCCTGACTAGAAGCCGAAGTAGCCTCTGTGGAAAATATTTTTCTCATTGCGATCACGTTGATCTGCGAATATTTAATTCCCTGCTCTTCTAATTACGAAACTGAACTTTTCCTGCATTGTGCAGTTTTAAAAAATACGATGAGAACTTTTTCAATGCACCTGACCGCTTGGCCCGAGACCGCTTGGCCCCAGACCGCTTGGCCCCAGACCGCTTGGCCCC